GTATTTAGCCTTGTATGCTCTGAATTTCATTTTGATAAGACATATAATCTCTTCAGTCCTGTGATTCTAGGACTTGTAGAATGACATCCTTTACTAAATGCTGCTCATAACTTGTATCCTAGTGGCAGGCAGGATTTGCTCATGTAGGGAAGATGTCATAGACAATGAGCTAGTGGGGGAATATGCAACTGTACTAATTATATTTGGAAATGAAAAGTTATTGATAATACAGTGAATGCTAAAATTTTTAAAATATAATGCAATAAAAGACACATTCCAACTAAATTGCCTCAAAATATTCCCACTCACTTCAGAAACTCTAATCCCATTTTTTTTGCCACTTTCTGAAGCAATTCTGGAAGTTCTCTTTCAGGAGTGTCTATGTGGTATAACACAGTGATTGATGCTGCCAAATATCAGGGCCACAACTCAATTTGTAGGGCTCTGGGAACCAGCATTGGTCTGCTGCTGAATCACCAGGCCCTGTTGAGAAGGGTCTCCATGGAAACCAAATGCAGAGACAAAGGAATCCAGAGAGAATTAGCAGATCAGTTTACTGTAAGCCTGCTCTTTCTTTTTCTTGGGTCCAGATAATAGAGCCAGAGTTTTAGTATTATATAATACCATGCTATAAATAATATAATGCTATAAAATAGTATCATACAAATAGTATAAGACAAAAAAATTCACAGTTATGTGTTACTTAAAATGGAAACATATCCCAAAAAATGTGTCATTAGGCAGTTTTGTCATTGTGTGTATTTAGATACACCTAGAGGTGCAGGTCAATTACTCCACGTGACCCCTGGAGGTAATCACAAATGAATGATGCTGCTACTGTGTGATATAGTTTTCTATTTCATGGTGAAGGTTTTTGTAAGTAGAAATACACTCGAAAATAATGAGAATCATATAACATTTTAAATGTATAATAAACCAGTAACATAATTTTTCATTATCATTACCAAGTAGCCTATAATGGAAACTATAGCATGTGCTATAAACTGGATGGTGTTTAAGTTTGTTCTTTTAGTTTGTTTACACCAACATCAACACAAACACTTGAGAAACATGTTGTGTTCAGGTCTTAAGCCAGATATAAAGTGTGTGAAGAATTTTTCAGCTAGTTATAATCTTATGAAAACACGATCATACTTGTGGTCTGTCACTAACTTAAATATCATTATGTGGCATATGACACCATATTATACAATATTTAAAATAAATACTCACATATAACTTTGTATTTAATATTTTATATTACTATTCTTTTTTTGAGAAAAGGTCTTGCTGTGCTGTTCAGGCTGGCCTTGAACTCATATGTAACCCAACTGGACTCAAACTCACAGAAATCCTCTTGTCTCAGCCTCTTGAGAGCCATAATTATAAGCATGCACACACCTGGTTCTATATTATTGATTTTTAACTGAAGAAAAAAGAAATAAAAACTCATTATGTTGCAATTTCTATGTCTAATCAACTTCCAGATTTTTTTGCCTAATGTTCAAAGTTTTTATATTTTTAAATTTTCCCAAGTTTTTAAATCCTTTTAGCAAATAAAGCTTAATTTATTTATATTTATCTTCTTCAGGCTCATTCTTTTATTTCCAGATCAAGTTAACTTCTCTCACTTAAATTCACTTCTTATTTTAATGTATTTTCCTGATTAGTAATGTATAATGTTTCATAATAAATTTCATAAAATTTCTGATAGCCCACTGTCATTCATCTTTTTATTCTTCATAACTCCTAGCTAAATGACTAAGTAAATCCACAATGAATGTTTGCTAAGTGAATACATCAGAGTATTGGTTAACTTTTTGTTCATGACCAAATTCCAGAGCAAAGAACTTAAAGGAAGAAAGACCTATGCTAGCTCAAGGTTTCTAGAGTTTCACTTGATGATCAGGTTACTCCAAGGCAGAAACATCATGGCAGTGGAGCATGCCAGAGAAGAACTGCTCAGCATGGCAGGCAGGAAGCGGAAATAAAGGAAAAGAACCAGAGAGAGAGGAAGGGGCGGAAGACAAGAATATACCCTTCCAGAGGCCCAAATGGACACCAACAGTGCAGGGGTGCAGTCCCCAGCCAGCAACCCACCCAGACAGCAGCAACATAGGGGAACAGCCCCCAGCCAGAAGCCCACTGGAAGCAGCACAGTGTAGGGATCCAGACCTCACCTGGCAGAGTGCAGAAAGGCCAGCATTCTGAGCACAAGAAAATGGCACAGTGATGAGCAGCAGAGAGAAGACCTCTGAGGCTTTTTGTTGAGAAATGAAGCCCAGTGGGAAAGCAAAGAGACCCTTCAATAAAGGCACAGCAGGTAGCAGTGGCTGGTGAGTTGTTGGGGTCAACACTTCCTAACAGAACTCAAACTCACTGTGGGAGAAAGATGGCTCAAACCTGCAGTAGAACCATGCAGAGTTCAAACATGAAGGAAGTCAGGGAGATCAATTTCAGCATCACACTCAGAAATCAGCCAGAACGTCAGTGGACCATGCCTGTCTCACTGAGATCAGTCAACGCAGATCTGTACAGTACCCATGTTCTCCACCAGTGACAACAGAAATGCCTTGGAGAAAACATTTTCCTTGTTTCCTTTTCTGTTCTCCTTCTTCCTCATTTCTTTCCTTTCTCATTCTTCTTTTTGCTCTGTTTTGTTTTTTCTCAATTTTTCTTCTTTTTAAAGGAGCATGAATATGGTTTCCAGTTTTTCTGTTGCTATTAGTTTGTTCTGTTCTTGTTTTCGTTCCTTCCTTCTCTCCTTTCCTCCTGTCTTCACCAGTTACCCTAAGTTTGCATGATCTTCCTGTGTCCTCTAGGATTAATTCTAAACTTTCCCTATCCTTGTTTTTCTCTATCCCCCAACTCCTTCTAAATCTTCTCCCCACAGGGCAAATTTGCTATGTTGAAGGATTTGTTTACTGCAAATACATTTCTGACTGGTTCTAGATTTTTAGATGTAACAACACATCTAGTTAATACAGTCAAAATTGATAAGATTAATAGTTACCACAGTTTGTCATTTTTCTAGGCTGTTTGATCCTATTGTTGATGCTGATTATACTGCTCTGGCCAAGGTACAGTGATTATGTTCTAATCAGTTGTCCTTCCTGGTATACCAACAGTGTAATTGTCTAAGGGTCATTACAGACTCAAAACTGGAGGGCCAACATTACCTGAAAGACAATCTGAGAAGTAGCTATTCATTAAGGGTTATAAATACTAGCAATAAAGATACTCACAATAAGCAATATACAAGCATCAACCCAGGAATTAAACAAAAACATCATCAACAACAGAAAATAGAAATGAGAAGATATCCAAATAAGATACAAACCCAGACTTCCAGGTCACCAATGGGAAATACAGGGGGCAATAAGATGGAATAATCAAGAAGTCAACCACCTGAACTCTCTGAACTGAAAACAAGGGAAGTAACAAAACACATGAAAGAGGCTCTGGAAAACATGAAATCAGAAATAATTTCTCAGACAAAAACAAAGATGGTGACCATAATGAAAGACATGATTAATAACTCTAGTGCACATACAGATTTTAAAAAATACAAGAGCAGAGGAAAATGATGGAAATTATGAATATCAAGCATAGGAAAGAATTAGAAAACACAAAATACATCCAAGCATAAATACAAGAAATTAAAAATTACACTGAAAGTTTCCACAGCAGAATAAGTGAATGAGGACAGAATTTTCAGAATTGCAGAACCCATAAAAAATATTACCCAACAATGAAACCCAACCCAGGCTTGGCTTGGCATTCTGGGCTCCTGTTCTGGTAGAAACGGAATTCAGACTCTGAAGCCATGTGAGCTTACAGCATCTCTCAGATTCAGAGGCAAGGAGATAGAAGAAAATCACCAGTCTATGCTTCTACCTCCACTTCTTCCACCTGCTTCTTCCTAAAGTCTCTTACTCTCTAGGTCATTCTTGAAACAAACTTCATAGGAACTATATTCTCAAGCATGATAGGATTCTTTTTTTTGGTACCGGGGATCAAACTTGGGACCTCATGCTTGCAAACACTGAGCTAAATCCCCGGCCCCATGACAGGATTCTTAATGAATTCAGTCATGAAAGTAATAGCTCACTGGATTGAAAAGGAGAATTTCCTGCTTTTAGCACATTTCAGCCAAAAAAAAAATCAAGAAATACAGGAAGGTACAGCTAAGTGAAGTCATTTCAGTAACCAAAGAAACAAAAGAATAATAGTTTGGACCCCATATTTTCTTCTCATTGTACTGAGTATGATGAAGACAAGACATGGAATCACAGCACAGTCTACTCTCATTGGATTCCCTTGATCTATTCTCTCTTCAATTACATGCTGCATGTTCATAGCCCAAACCTGTTTTCAGGTCTAAATACAACAGGCAGGGTTTGAAAAGAATATAGCACACTTGTACCTCTGCTCTACATATGAAGGATTTATCTCATTATATCCAGAAGTTTTTCTTTTCATACAATTCCTTTATGGTTTGGAAGTAACAGGATGCTATTGGAAGCCATGGGGCTATGCTTCTCTTACTCTTTCAACAATCTTTGTAACCACAAAATGATGGCATAGCCAGTGCAGATGCTGAAGAGGACATCACTATAGCCAAGATGAAAAAGCACCAGAGTGAGAGGAAAAGGAGAAGCAATGAAAGAGGATGAAGAAAATAAAAACTGAGAGACAGGAAGTCAAGGTTGTTCTGCCTACTAGCAAGAGTTCCTGTTCTCATTCAATCAGTATGATGTCTATAAGAAAACGCGGATCCCAGTTTCAGGAAACCATCTCTGTAGTCTTTGTTCTGCCATGTGTTGCTGGTAGGTCCCTGGACAAATCACACTAACTCTGAGCATCTCAGTCCTCATGTCATAAAGTAGAAATAATAATTCAATTTTTGCTCTCAAATTCTAAAATATTTATGAGAACAAAATAAAAGTATTTTGTCAGCTGTAAAGTATGAAGGGTAAGTTACTGATCTCTCTGTCTCTCTACAGCTTCTCAGGAAGGAAGCCCAGCTGATGTAGTACATTCCTCAGTGATAATTTCACCTCCTTATTCCTGAGGCTGTAGATCAGGGGGTTCAGCATGGGAGTGACCAGGTTGTTCAGGACCTGAACAGTTGAGTCCAGCCAGGGCCTTGGGGTTGGCCTCAAGTAAATGAAGATCACAGGCATGTAGAAAAGTAGAATGGCAGTGAGGTGGGCACTACAGGTGGAGAAGGCACGATGCCGGCCCTCAGCAGAGCGGATCTGCAGAATGGAGCAGACAATGTAGCTGTAGGAGGTGAGGATGAGAAGGAAGCAGCTGAGGGGCATGAGACCCACACTGATGAACCCCACCATCTCCAGGGCTGAGGTATCTGCACAAGCCAGCTTCAGCATCACTGGGATATCACAGAAGTAATAGTCCACCTCCCTGGGGCCACAGTAGGGCAACTGGAAGGTGAGAGTGGTGAGAAAGGTGGCATGAATGCAGCCAAAAAACAAGGTCCCCATGGCCAAGATGGTGCATACTCTGAGGCTCATGATTATTGTGTAGCGTAGAGGGTGACAGATGGCAACAAAGCGGTCAAACGCCATCACTGTATACAGGAAACACTCAGTGCACCCCAGGAAATGGTAGAAAAAGAGCTGGGACACACATCCTGCATAGGAGATGGCTCGGCTGTTCCCTGAGAGGTAGAATAGCATCTTGGGAGAACTCACAGAAGGGAAAAAAATGTCAAAAATGGACAATTTGCATAAGAAGAAGTACATGGGAGTGTGAAGTTGAGTGGAGGAGATGATTGCCAGAAGTATGAGCAGGTTGCCTATAAGCGTGAAGATGTAGAAGGACAGAAACAGGGCAAATAGCATGGTCTCCAGACCCTCTGTGTGTGGAATGCCCAGCAGAATAAACTCGGTCACCACTGAGAGATTCCTCATACCTATGAGAATGTCTGACCTTGAAAAGGGAGCCAAGACTCTCAAATCTGGACACCAGTATCAAATTATTAAGTTTCTTGCTGATGAGTACTCTAACGATGCCAATGTACAGCAATGTACCTATTTACAAAGGGTAAGAGCATGATTTAGGTAAAAAAAAAAAAAAAACCTATTTAAGAAGTCACCATCTGTCCACTTCTTGCAAAGAATTTTACAAAAGCTTCCATAATGAGATCATAAGTTTAAAGATATTTTCAATATATTTCCAGCTAGAAACCTTTTTGCATCCTTTTATTATCTTCTAATATATTTATATTTGACTTCTTGTAATATCTTTGAGCAATAAACTCACACTATTCATTACCATCTACAAAATAACAGAAAAAAATTGTATTAGAAATGTACTAGAAATAAGAACAATTAATGTGAATCTTCACTTTGACACTTATTAGATATTGTAGTTCAAATTACCTGCACATTTACATACCTGGCTGTGCAAAACATTTATTAAAAATCTCATTTAATTTTAGGAATCATGCAACAGTATTTTCTCCCTGCAGACACTAGATCTTCGGATCAGTTCAGTATAGAAGCTTTCAAATTGTGCAGCCACATTCAACATCAAGATTCTAATCAGAAACTTTAACAAGTGCCAATGAAAAATATCTCTAAAGATAATGACCTGGACAGTATAAGTTACCCTGTACCACATCACAATTAGGTAAAAATGAAAACTGTGAAGAGAGAAACAAGCCTTCTGGGAAAGGAGTGATTATTGATCCCTGTTATCAATTCTAGCCATACCTGAGAAGTCTCTGAACAAATTCCCATGAGTTTTTCAACTACTGTCCTTGGTCTGCAAAACACGGTGTCTCTGGTCCTTGCCTTTGTGCAGACATCATTATGATCTGTGTTTTTACAAGTTTCATTTGACTCAAAGTCCATGTCAGGTAAAGGAAGTCCCCAAAATCCAGAGAAGGCCCTGTGTGTGCATTTGTTAGTGTGCAAGGGGCAAAGGCCATCAGTGAGAAATAGGAAGCAGTTTGAATACTCACAGAGTGCAGCTGGGAACATGGTCAAGGTTTCCAATGTGTAATGAGAAGACTTCACATTTACTGCTTCTGAGCAGAGCACAGCGTATTCGATTCAAAAGGCTTTTCATTTCCTCCTCATAAATAACCCAGTCTCATGGGATTTGTGCAAGCAAAATTAGTACACATGCACTCTCCCTGGAATGCTTTCATGGATGTATACTTCAGATCTTCTTAAGCTCTGGTTGGAGCTCAGTGATGTCCCTGAAGGAGCAATTAGTTTGTCAACCTCATCTTCATCTGGTCATGAATAGTCATGATATCATCAGAAAAGAATGGCCTGAAGTGGGAAATGTGTTCCTCAAAGATTGTTTGCATGGCGGTCCCAATTCTCACATAAATCACCTCCAATGATAGTGTACTTTCATTTTATTTGAACTTATCAAGAATTGTGTCAAGTGCAACATCTTAACCTTGTTCCACAAATAAAGGACATTGGAACTCAGAGCATCGCGGCTTTCCTAAAGTTAGATGGTAGAAGAGCCCAGGCATTCCCAAGCTTAGCTTACTTTGCACTACATCAACCCTGATACCCAAAATGATTCCAGGCAGAAAGCAGCTGTCCCTGTGAAAGCAGAGTACTATTAATAGATTTATTTGTGAAATTTGAACAAGCTTCTGTATATTCATATAGCAATTAATGTTGCTATTATATATTCCCTGACCATACAATGTTATGGCCTCAAAGAGTAAGCCAGAAAGGATAGACACACAGACACACACACACACACACACACACACACACACA